TAGTTGGTTTATATGGCTGGGCAGTGTCTTCTGTTTGATTTAGTGTGGCTGCTGATTTAGAGTCGTAAAACTGGGTACTTTGGTGAACATTTGCAGATGGTTGGAAGGAGTGTGTATGTTTTGGTATATGAAAACTGTCTAAGATGTTTGGATGTGTGTTTGCAGCTAATGCATTGATTGTTTCGCTATGATGTTTGGTATGTTGTGTAGTTTCTTTTAGTGCTAAGGTTGGAGTGTTGGTGTGATGGTGCTTAGTCATAGCTGTGTTTTTATTCTGGAAAGCAGGTGCTTTGTCAAAGATTGTGGAGATCTTAGGAAAGTTTGATGGAATTGGCATTTGAGTGAGTTGGGGATTAGTTTGAAAATTGAGATTCCTAGATAAATAAGTCGGTGATGTATTAGACAAATGTGTTGCAGAAACATTACCCGAATATGCCAAGTTTGTTGTTGTAGGGATTGGCTGAGCTTGAGCAGTAGGAGCTGGTGCAACTTCCTTCTCCTTAACAATAGAAAGTTGCTCGGCTGACGTTAGGTCAGTTGAAATACCAGGAACTCCATGAACAGTCAGTGAAACATTCAAATTTTCCGCCATTGGACGAGCATCAATGATATCAACTAGAGTTTGAAATTGGACATGCGGGTGACCTTCAGCAACATATGGAGGATTTTTTCGACCAATTGAGTCTCAATTGGGTTTGTCGCGCTGGTTTGGACATTTTGTCGAGCACCTTCTGTGGGCGGATTAGCAGAGGTCGGTGTACCGATTGTAATGGAGTTTGACACAATGAGGTGTTGTTTTTATTGCTCAGCAATCATTCCAAAACCTACAGATACCATTTCATATTGATTTTGTTCCAATTGGACATCTTGTTCATCATCTCCTGCCAACTTGTGGTCTCCGTCATTTTACAGCTAGGTAATGCTCATAAATCCCATGGTTGAAAGCTCTGAGTTTTTGACAGGGTGTTGTGTTTGAATCGGAGCAAGAATTCTACTTCTTTACGTTTGTCGATTTGGCCCAGAAGTTATTTGAGTTATTCTTGGAAAATCCAGACGCCCTATCGCTACAGTGACCCCTTCCCCTTTTTGCGAATATGTAGCGCGTTGTTTGGATTTGTCGGATGAAATGACCTGAGATTTTATAGATGTGTTATTGAGTATTATTTGGGACAGGTCTGGAGGCATTTCTCCACCTAAAGGCGGATTTGTGCCCTTTCCAGTGTGAGCGTAACCTTAGCACCGGAAATCGCCAATTGTATAGAGCGTTTTTGCTGTGAGGGGGGTTTGAAATAGTTGTAGTGCTAATTCAGGAATTGTTTTCCATTTTTACGTTTAGTGTTCTTGGACTATGCGCAGGTTACAGGTTAGTTTGGTGCATGACTCGAGCTTCTGCGAAGAAAGTGCTACCATACGAGCCAGAAATTAAAAAACTACTACAATAGCTGAGGAAGGAAAGAAATCTCACCGAGACATCAGGAAAGGTTGGGCAATCCTCAACAAAAGAAGATATGGCTGGAACCGGTGATGATAATACAGATTTGGTTGCGAGAGAAGTAGCCCAACGACGAGAACAAGTTGCACGGGATGCTGAAGAAGCAACTATAAGAGATGCAGACCAGTTTGGAAATATAGCTCCCATTCCTGGGAGACCACTTAGCGATTATACTAGACCAGTCTACAATCAAGGATTATCAAGTGTTAGACCACCTCCAATTGCAGCAAACAATTTCAAGTTAAAGCAAAGGTTTCTTCAAACCCTTCTGAATTGTTGTGCCTTCAGAAGGAAGCCAAACGAAGATCCAAACACATATCTAATGGACTTTGAGGAGATTATGAACACCTTTCAATACAATGGTGTGTCACAAGATGTAGTGTATCTAAGGGTATTCCCCTTTTTCCTTAAATATGATGCAAAGTAGTGGCTTCGAAGCTTACCCACAGAATCAATTAGAACATGGGAGGAGAAGACCAAAAAATTCCTTGATAAGTATTTCTCATTAGGCAAGACGGGCAAATTTAGAAGAGAAATCCATAATATCTTCCATAAAGAGAATGAAACTGTTTTTGAAGAATGGGAGAGGTTTAAGGAGATTGTTACAAAGTGTCAACATAGTGGAATTGAACTCTGGATGCAACTACTAATTAAATCAGTAGATGTTGTATTAGACAAATGTGTTGCACAAACATTACTTGAAGATGCCAAGTTTGTTGTTGTAGGGATTGGTTGAGCTTGAGTAGTAGGAGTTGGTGCAACTTCCTTCTCCTTATCAATATAAAGTTGCTCGACTAACGTTAGGCCAGTTGAAATACCAGGAACTCCATGGGCAGTCAGTGAAACACTCAAATTTTCCACCATTGGTCGAGCATCAATGATATCAACTGGAGTTCGAAACTGGACATGTGGGCGACCATCAGCAACATATGGAGGATGTTTTCGACCAATTGAGTCTCAATTGGGTTTGTCGTGCTGGTTTCGACATTTTGTCGACCACCTTCTGTGGGCGGATTAGAAGAGTTTATTGCATCGATTGTAATGGGGTTTGGCACAATGAGGTATTATTTTTGTTGCTCGGCAATCATTTCCAAACTTGCAGATACCATTTCACATTGATTTTGTTCCAATTCGACATCTTATTCATCATCTCTTTCCAGCATGTGCTCTTCGTGGTTTTGCAGCTGGGTGATGCTCACAAATCCCTTGGTTGAAAGCTCTGAGTTTTTGGTGGGTTGTTGTTTTAATTGGAGGAAGAATTCCAGTTCTTTGTGTTTGTCGATTTGGCCCAGAAGTTATCTGAGTTATTCTTGGAGAATCCAGACGCCCTATCGCTACAGTGACTCTTCCCCTTTTTGCGAATCTATAGCGCGTTGTATGGATTTGTCAGAGGAAATGAACTGAGATTTGGTAGATGTGTTATTGAGTATTATTTGAGACAGGTCTGGAGGAATTTCTCCACCTAAAGGCGGATTTGTACCCATTCCAGTGTGAGCATAACCTTAGCGCCGGAAATCACCAATTGTAGAGGGCGTTTTTACTGTCGGGGGGTGGGGGGTGGTTTGAAATAGTTTGTAGTGCTAATTGAGGAATGTTTTATCCCTTTTTACGTTTAGTGTTCTTGGACTGTACGCAGGTTACAGGTTAGATAGGTGCATGACTCGAGCTTATGCGAAGGAAGGGCTACCATACGAGCAAGATATTGAAAAATGGCTATGATAGTTGAGAAAGGAAAGAAATCTCACAGATACATCAGGAAAGGTTGGGCAATCCTCAACCAAAGAAGATATGGCTGGAACCGGTGATGATAATGTAGATTTGGCTATGCGAGAAGCATCCCAACGATAAGAACAAGTTGCACGGGATGTTGAAGAAGCAACTATTAGAGATGCACATATTATCTATGAAGAAGAGAGGGGTCGTAGAATTTCTCAAAATCAACCCTTGGGTGCAGACCAGTTTGGAAATATAGCTCCCATTCCTGGGTGACCACTTGGCGATTATGCTAGACCAGTCTACAATCAAGGTTTATCAAGTGTTAGACCACCTCTAATTGCAGCAAACAATTTTGAGTTAAATCAAGGGTTGCTTCAAACCCTTCAGAATATTTGTGCCTTTAGAGGGAAGCCAAACGGAGATCCAAACACATATCTAATGAACTTCGAGGAGATTATGAACACCTTTCAATACAATGGATAGTCACAAGATGCAGTGTATCTAAGGGCATTCCCCTTTTCGCTTAAAGATGATGCAAAGTAGTGGCTTCAAAGCTTACCCACGTGATCAATTAGAACATGGGAGGAGATGACCAAAAAATTCCTTGATAAATATTTCTCATCAGGAAAGACGGGCAAGTTTAGAAGAGAAATCCATAACATCTGCCAAAAAGAGAATGAAACTGTTTTTGAAGCATAAGAGAGGTTTAAGGAGATTGTTACAAAGTGCCAACATAGTAGAATTGAACTCTGGATGCAACTCCAGGACTTTTGGGATGGATTGACACTGGCCTCACGTAAAACATTGAGCAATGCAGCCGGAGGCCCGTTGATGAACAAAACTACAGAGGAGATAGTTACAATTCTTGATGAGTTATCTGAAGATGCTAATCAGTGGCCCTCTGATAGTGCTGAAAGAAAAAGATCAACTAGTGTTCACCAAGTTGATGCTAACACATCTGTGGAGGTACAGCTTGATGTTATTGCCAAAGAGATAAGAAAGTTGACCTTGGCAACAATACAGAGTGAGCCTCATGCAACTTGTGATATATGTGGAAGAGGACACCCTACTCATGAGTGTCAAGTGTCAAATGAGGAAGTGAATGTTATGGGAAACTACAATTTTAATGCAATAGGTCAGAGGCACCCCGTATTTTTATGGAGTTCACATGGGGGTACCGCGAATGCATGGAAACAGAATAACTCTAGCCCCCAAGGACAAGGAACGACAGCATTCCAAAATCAGCAAAGGTAACAATTTCATCCTCAATAACCCATTCGGTCTAGCATAGAAGATCTCATGAAGGCCTTCATTCTAAAAACTGATGAGAGGCTCGAAACTCATAGCACAGTTATACTGGAACATGTAGCAGCTATCAAAGAAATAGGTACTGGTTTTTGAAACTTGGAAAGACAAGTTGGGTAGTTATCCACTCTATTGTCTGAGAGGATTCCAGGAACTCTCCCCGTTAATACTGAGAGAAATCCCAAAGAAACAGTGAATGTTGTGACCTTGAGAAGTAGGAAAGTGTTGAAGGATCCCACCCCAATCTAAAAAGATGTGATAATTACAAAAGAAAGTGGGGAGCAGCTGAAAAGTGATGATGACAAGAATAAGAAAGGCCTAATGAAAACTGAGAAGAAGAAGAAGGAAGAAAAATCGAGAAGGAAGGAACTTGAGAAGAACGAGCATATGCCTGCTCTACCTTTCCCCCAAAATCTATACAGAGAAAAGCTGGACAAGCAATTTGAGAGATTTTTGGATATGCTGAAACAAGTCCATGTAAACTTACCATTTACAGAAGTGCCCTCACAAATGCCTGCTTATGCCAAATTTATGAAGGAGATCCTGACAAAGAAGAGAAAAATAGAGGAGACCTTAGTGGTCAAGATTACAGAGCATTACAGTGCTATATTGCAAAATAAACTCCCACAAAAGTGTGGAGATCCAGGGAGTTTTACTATACCTTGATCATCAGGGACTATAAATTTTGATAAGTCTTTATGTGATTCTGGTGCATCAATTAACTTAATGCCTCTATCTATTTACAGGAAACTGGAGAAGAAGATTGGAGAGATATGGTCAGTGCCAATATATTTGCAGCTGGCAGACCAAACGATCTTAATATCCAAGGGGATAGTGTAAGATGTGTTAGTTCGGGTGGATAAGTTCATATTTTTTGTAAATTTTATAGTGGTGAATATGGAGGAAAATAAGGAGTTTCCCCTCATCCTAGGAAGACCATTCTTAGCGATGAGTAGATCTATATTAGATATACACGAGAGGAAACTCATGCTTAAATTGGGTGAGGCGATTGTGACTTTCAATATGAATGTAGAAAAGGGGGTGCAAAAAGAAAAACCAGCTGCGAGTGTTGAGTGGAAAGTGAAGGGCTCAAAAGAGAAGGCTGCATTGAGTGAGAAACATAAGTGTGGAGTGTACCCTAAAAAGGCTGAGAAATAGTTCTCTGCATAGATGTGTGCATAATTTGGGCATGAGGAATCGAGCCCGACTTCGACTCAGACACCGACTAGATGTTCAGGGAAATTTTCTTTACTTTATGCTTTTTAATTGTGTGTCATGGGGACATGCCATAACTTAAAGTGTGGGGTGGGAATAATTGTATGTTGTATGTGGATGTGTTAATTTTGTTAGTTGTAGTAGTTAGAAAATATTAAAAATTTTGATGTTTCCCGATGATGGATATAATTCGACGGGTTTCTTGAGGGACTAAAGTTGAAAGAAAAAGACAAAAATATTTTATTTTTTTAGGTAGTGTAACAATTCCCCTTTGGGTTTTTTTTGTGCCGCGATTCTTTTCCAAGGATTTTGTTTGAACCGGGTGTAGTTAATTTTTTTTAGGAGTAGGAAGCAGCTATGATTTGAATTGAAGGCAATATCTCTTAACTTTAGTATGCATTGAGAATAGTAAGTGCTTTAGTTGTGATGGTTAGGCTCAAATTTCGACTCTTGTATAAGTACCTTAAATTATATGATCTTAACTATGCTTAACTGTTGTGACTAGAGTGTCATGATGAGTCCGATCCTGAGTGAGTTATGTGCCATGTCTGTGTGAGGTTTTGTGTTATTCTGTGTATTGCATTTGATGTCTAGAACTTGCCCTATGTGTTTGCAAAGCGAAATAGTTGTTTGTTTAGTCTTGGAAGTGATTTAGGTGTTTCTTTGTTAAGCCAGATATATGATTTTACCCACCTAATTAATATGTATCTTAGTCAACCCCGTTGAGCATATAATGTTGTTTCTTTGGCAACCACATTACAAGCCTTACCCATTTGTTTGAATTGACCATCTATTTAAACCTTTTACATCTCGTGAGCACTTGAATTTGTTATGAACTTTGTAAAAGTTAAAGTGTGGGGTGTTGGTTTGGCTTTTGAGTGGAACTATTGAAATAGGAGAAAGGTGCACTATTTGGAAAAAGTAAGAGCCACTTGAATTGAAAAGAAAAAAGAAAAAAATGTTGTATTGTTGTGAAAAATATTCTTTGATAGTGGTGAATCTTGATGTAATTGTGCATAAAGAAGTAGGGAGTTAATGTATATTGATTGTGAAGGTGGAGTTATGGTTTGACATAAGTGTGGGGTTTTGAATGGTTAATTGTATGTATTTAAGTACTTAGGGAGGTGTAGTCACTCTTATAATGTAGGCTGCCTATCAGAACAAACTCTCTGGATTTCCCTACTAATGTCTCGCATGGCGCGTCGCCCCATGCGGTGCGCCTGTGCAATTATTACAGAGTGAATCCTATTTCGAAAAGGAGAAGGTGATTTCGTCTGAGCCCAACCCTACTTTGTATAATTACATGGAAAACGTTATTTTATGGACTTTTAACACATATTCGACCAAAGGAGGCTAAGAAGGAGTTGGAAGAACACGAGCAAAAGGATTTTATCATTCCTTCCTCACTCAAGACCCGAGCTTGATTTGAATTTATGTTTTCCTATACTTTTATTATATTTGTGATGAATTACTCCATATCTATGAAGTAGTTTTATGTATTGAAGCGTTTTTGGATGATTTAACTGTTGCATCTATACTCACTAGTTCATGTAATTGAGAGAGGCATATCTTGTGATATCTTTGCATTATATTGTTGGTTGAGTTCATTACTTCTTCTTAGTAGGAGAATAATCGAGAGAGGTTCTCCTTAAGACCAATCCACTATGCATTCTTGCATATCTTCACGTGCTTAAATTGGTTCATCTTGTGAGGTTAAGACTTAATCGAGAGAGGAGCTTTTGCTGAATGGTTGAATTGATAATTAAGTGAATTCAAGAGATTCACTTAAACATTAGATGTGAATTACCTTGATTTATATCCCAAACAATTATCTTACACCTATCCTATCAACACTTATTTTCTCTCACTGATAACTTTCTCTACTTTTCTTTGTTTCGATTGTCATTAGTCAATAGCTCTATATTCTTAGTTAATTTTAGTTATTAATCATGTAAATCTCGATTGGTGATTCTCCTGGATAGAAATCAAGCTAGAAACTACGAAAATATTATTTAACTCCAATCCCTATGAATACGATATTATACTATACTCTTTGACTAGCGAGCATAAATTAAAGTGGTGTTTTGTGCTCGTCACGCTATCAACGGTGCGTCGCTGGATTGTGATTCTATGGATGAGGTGAGAGATGTCTTTTCTGTGTTTTGGTGATGGGCCAGTATGGAGGACTTGAGGCCAAGTTTAGACCGCAGCTTAGGCTCGGTAGTTTCAGTTATGTGAGCATGTGCTTTCGGACTTATATGTCCGGTAGTGTCTTTATGAGTGGAATTTATGGCTCGGTGAGTAGTTCGATGGCTATATGATGAATATGATGTGATTGTGGTATGCGTTCAGATGGGTTGGATGTGGCGAGAAGGGTTGCTTGGGATATAAAAAGGACTATTGCATGCTTGAATTCTGTCTTGACGTGTCATACAATTTCGAGTTATTATCGTAGTGAGAGATATTTCATGTTGTTTATTTGTAGAACAAAGTAGATTCTCATATTTTGTTGATGAGTTTAGAATCAGGAAGATTAAGTGATTGCGTAGTAGTTGTGGCTGTGAAATGGTATAAAGAGATGTCAGTTTGAGGCTGAGAAAGTGGGTTATCACCTGCGGGGTAATCTTCGGATCTGTTATCCTGATGATGTTGTTTGGAGAGTTTCCTTCTACTAGTAGGTTATATGTGTTGCGATTTGTGTTTGGATCGATTGAGAAAGTTGACTTGATTGTCACGAGGATGAATGCAAGCTTAGCGGTTGATTTGAGGTATTTTATGGTATGTGTTGCTTGAGCTTATGAAGAATTTAGTTGAATTTCAATTGTGGATTATGGCAGCAATAGAGTATGGGTATTGTGAGTTATTAGATTTTTTGTTCTATAGTTTCAAGCCAAGTGGGGGAGTCCACTATTGACGATCAGATTGCATGGTTACATGTTGTAGTAATTTCAGCCTGAGGCATGTATGAAAATCAGTTATGACTTGAAGATGTTCATTTCGAGGATGACTCGAGTATGGAATTTTTGGATACGTAATGTGTTACACTTCATGGGTATACGTGGGCTGCGTTAAGGCGGGATTACTTCTTTGGGTGTTGTCATGCTAATGGGTCATAGGTCGTTCAACCTGTTTAGGCGGTGCAATTAAGATTTGAGTAGAGAGGATATCTATCGAGAAGGTTCTAAAGAGCTCATGATTCATATGTGGCATTTGGAGGATTTCCCCAGATTTATATATGGCTAAGATCTGAGATTTGCATTGGATGGTGCCGGGACTTGCAGTATTTTTGTATCACTATGGATTCTACATTTTAGTATCAGAAAGGTAAAACGAACAATGTTAGATTCACATAAGGTCTCTTCAGAGTTGGTTTCTCGGTTGCGGTAATTTTGGGGTGCTTAAAAGGGAATACAACGGCTTATGGGCCTTAGGGCGGTGTGGTTTTATGGTAGGATCTCTTGTGATGAGATTTGGGTAATGATCATGGTGTTTTGGCAAGGAGAAGTGTCAACCTAAGGGTAATTCAAAAGGAACTCGGAGAAATAGGACGGCTTGGTAGTAGGTTGGATCATCATGGTAATGGATATGATCGGTTCTTTGGGTACTTATGATGTGGTGAATCTCTAAAGATGTGTTGTGGAAACACTATTTGGTTTGGCGACATGTGTGGCTTGGTTGATGTGAGAGGGATTCAGTTCCAAAGGCTTGGTTATGTGCAAATGGGTTTCGAAGCGTCCTCGACGATTTCTACCATGGCTTGAGATAGATATTTTCTACCGGCATGAAGAGTATGTCGTATATTGTCATTTTCACCTGGATGGGGTTAAGTGGAAGGTTTCTAGCTGATTGAGTATGTATTCAACTTGTGACTCGAAGTTTCTAATGAGGTTCTAGTGTTTTCATATGATGGCACGATAGATATTGTACGTCGTGAGGGATTGGGATTTGCACGTACAAGGTGGCGGTTCAGTTTGGAGGGAAGGTCATGAATTTTAGACAACATGTACTATCTCAGATGTTTAGATGAATGCTATTACTACTTGGTATGACCTGAGAAGGGTGCACATTTTAGAAGGCACCTTGTAGTATGACTTAGGGATGCTTCATTGGTATTGCGGTACTCGCCTAGTTGATGGACTGCTGATGTTCATATTCTTCTATGTGGAATAGAAAAATGATAGAAGTATTTCTCGTGACATGATTGTGTATGAGGGGGTGTTAGTCATTCGAGTGATGGAGTTGGGATCGACTATAGTGATTCATGTGTTCTATGGATTTGAAGACTGGGAGTTCTCAAAAGAAGATTATTTCGTGGTTGTGGACTATGAAGGTGTGGACAATGTTAGCCAGATGGTAGTATGTGTTATGGTTAGATCATTTTGGACCTTTGTAGGGATATTTATCCATTTAGGGATGACAAAATTTGATTTCGGGGCCCATTGGTAAGCCCAATGAGGATGTGTATTATACACTGGGCCTGATTTAT